TTGCGAAAAAATAAATGAGATTCAGAAATTCCACTGGCGCTGTAAGCAACTGATATTCCATTCAATGAGCCAAAACTGTGCAACATACTGAACATAGAAAAACATTTTTCGTTCTAAAAGTGTTATGCATACGTTTTACCAACCTAAAGATGATAATGGTGTCTAATTATAAGTTAACCGCTGTAGCGAACACACTACGGTAGTTTAATTTACCTTTACCCATTTAACAATTACATCATGAGCTCGAGATCTCTATCGCCTGATAGTTGACCGGGGCGCAGCCCGAGTCAACTATGACGCATAGAAATCGAGAGCGAATAGTCTAATCGTTTTAGTATAAATCTTCTAGTCGTTCAAAACTGTATCTAAATCTTCTTAAAAGACATTTCGAAAACGCAAAGAAGCGGCCGTCATTTTGTTAACAACTGCGCTCTGCTGGCCATTGGCCATGATCACTATCTACAACAGAAAAGATAATGATGAGTAGCGTAACCAATCAGAGAATCGAACGGTATTCGTGATAGAACGCTGGCAGATTTATACTAATCTAAGTTATAAAAAGCTGAGTATTTCACTTGCCCGTCGATGCAGCACAGGATGTTCTTTAGAAACTAATAACTCTCCTACAACAGTCGGGCTATTTAGGATTAAATGCAACCTGCACCATAGTTAACTAAGCCCGCACGTCTAGAAGTGTCAATACTCAATGGTCCCAATACTGCACCAATATTGGTACCTTCCTGTAGGAAGAAATAGTTTTCATTGTTGAACGCAATGACAGCTGCGTTTAATAAACAATATCGTGCACTACTTTTCAAATCTACGTCATCGTGTGCTATAGAATATCACATTTGGCACTAATCTCCAAAAGGAGGAACAGAAACTCTGGGAATGACACTCATACTCGATTTCGTACTAATAGTCTTATTGCTATCCGATTACAAGTGATGTTTTCAGACGTTGTATTGAATGAGCGTAATAAAAAGATCAAGCAATGATCAGTGTACCTAGACTTCCACTCGAGGCGGTCGGTTTCAAAGTGGCGGGCATACCAAAATCTTTTGATGTCAGAGTCTTCAAGGGTGCTTATTTTCCGGTTCTTTGTTGCATCCTCCAAATTCCGAAAAATTTATCTCCAACTCTTTACTGCTATATCTGCGTGCAACATTTGTAAATACAGTAATGTACTTCATGTAGGAACCTACAACAGTTTTTTGAAGTCTGGCAAAATACGTGTTCTTGTATTTTGGAGTAGATATTGGTAACTTATGCCAACTGGGTTCTTAACTTGTAGGTTCCTAATTTCTATAAAGGAGATATAGTTATTGATTACCAAAAAAATAAATAAACTTGGGTTTGGTCCTTAAATATGCAGTATGCATTCACAACTGTGTTATGTATTTTCTTGTAATATAAATTTGCAATTTCAAAGTCGCACTCCTTGGTTAAAATGATGTTTATCATAATTTAACGGTAACCAACGTATAAGAACCTGCCTGATCTTGCATGGTTAAAGAGGTTCTTATTTTTGGGTATTAAAAGGGCAAATTCCGGCCAGCAGGTTCGGCTTAAACCATTGGGTTCTTACACGCTGGTTATTACAAGCATATCCAGATGAGCTCCCAGTTCATCAGCTGGAGAAGTTTGTAAGTCCGAAAGGAAGCAGTTAAGGGTTGAATTGCGTGGTGCAGCGGAATGACATCTGAAACAAACTTTGAGCGATCGCCTTGCTGGAGTAATCAAATTAGCAGTAACAGCGATAATCTATAAAATCTTGATAGGAGTTTTACAAAGTTCCGAAGACATTTTCTTATTTACATAAATTTTGCATTTTAATTATTTCCTACAAATCGGCTGGTGATACCGTTGAATCTACCCACATTAAAATCGAATTCCTTGCTCAAATGTTTGTGTTTAAAGGTAGATGTTTTATCTGGTGGGTAAAATATATTCTATTTTTTCTTATGTTAACAATTTACAGCGTCTCTTAGGATCTTCTTTCTAACAAAAGCACTGATCAGCAATTCAAATTAAATCTAAAACAATACCATGAGACACTGTGAAAAATAAATTCAGTGTCAACTGCATGTAAACACGAGATCGCTTCAAGTTACTTAGCGCCTCACAACTCCTATGGAATGACTCATAACGATACTGATTTTCGCTTCGAAATTCAATTTTTTTCCTTCGAAGCGATACAAATCATTTGCAAAGCATATGTTTTGTCCTTCATTTTCAAACTATACTGCATTTAGTATACGAAATCTATTCCAGATGTTATTAATGCAGCATGCTCCTTACACGTACGTTTATAATATCAAGCAAAAGGTATTCGATAGGAATTTAAAACCTTCAAATTTTCCGGAAAGCATGCTTAAACTAAGTCTAACAGCAGGCCCGGTAAAGGCTTACCTCGCTTAATTCGTCACTCCGTTTTCGTTGTTGTTTAGTCCAGAGTCTTCAGGAGGTTCTGATTACGGAGTATGATAATTCTAAAGCTCTTTGTTTCATAAATATGTATTTTTTTTTCAATGTTTTCCTTTTCGTATACGTCACTTAACCCCAGGCGTTCTTTGAAGAAAGGACTCGCTCTCTAAACGTCACTGCTTTTGTCGTAAAAAAGATATATTTACATCAAGTGATTCAATGTTGCCAAATGGACAGATCGTAACATTTCTTATATTGTTCATAATTCTGCATGGCAAGCGTCCAACTAGGCTACACTGCACCCTTGTTACCAAACTTTATACGTAACTGGCTACCTTAATTTGGTAATGCCTTAAGCTATTATTGGTGGCAAACAGCTGGTAAGCTAGACTAGAGAGTATTAAATAATGACTAGAGACCGAAACAAGAAACTGAGAGGAAGAGGTTACATGCCCCTAGCACCCAGCACTTGGATGGAGAACAAGGCAACAATGATTGCTCACGCTTTTTCGTGTTAGCTTTGCCACTCATAGGACAATGAAATTGCTCAAAAAGCAACGCAAACAAGAAAGAAAGACGTTTGGGGGCGAGCATATGTTGACCTCCTTTACTGTCTTTGACGTCATGTGTCGTCTAAACAAGTTTGCAAAAATGAAGATGTGTCATTATATACCAAGACTAAAAAACTCCAACTGTGTCTTCATCGTCATACCAAGTTTGCAAAATTTACGTTGTGTCGTCATAGTTTTTAAAATATTGGTTGGTATGACCAGAGTCTCGTCATACCAAGTTTGCAAAGTTGTGTCGTCATACACTAGACTTGCAAAACTTTTAAGTTTTGCCGACATAAAAGTCTACAAAATTTAGGATGTGTCGTCAAGATCGCACCTCGATTCCAAAACTTGAGATGTATCTTCACACAAAGTTTGGAAGACTTAAGAATCAAATCGTGACTCGCGACATAAACGAAGAAGAAATTTACTTTAAACCTGTTAGGTCGATAGTGCCAACTGAAAAACGCACATGAGAGAAATATCATATGACCATAAATTCCGCATTCCGACGTTAAACTCCGGCGTTATTAAACAGTTATTAGATGAGGTTTTTGTGATATCCAGAATAATCAAGGTCGAGGTACGGCCTATCAGCCGAAGCCGAAGGCTGAGGCTGATAACCCTTACTGAGACCTTGATTATTCTGGATATCACTAAACCGAATCTAATAATTGTTTTATTTTACATGGAACGGAAAAAAAAAGGAAATCATGTTTTTGCTTCTTCACTGACGGCAAGCAATACAAAGCGAGCGAACTTAACATGATTACCCTTAGAAATCATGCACCGCGGTCATACATGACATGATTACCTGTGACCTTGAGTGTCCTTGACCTGATTATTGTATAATCTGCAGCTAGATGACGTCACCGGCGCTGATTCCGAAAATTCACTGTACGCTTTAGGCCAATCAGAAAAGAGATAGTGGGTTCAACGTGTAATAATTGTAATTATAGAAACCGAGTAAAAGCTGTGATAAGGCCTTAGAAAAAAATTTATACTTTTTGTATATTTGACATCAAACTATGTTTATTCTAAAAATATTTCATACCACTCGTCAACTGGCATTCGCGACGTTTTTCCTCGACCGTAGCAAACCTGCATGTAGGACCGAAATTCTAAGGTACAAAGGTATGAACTCAATCACAAAAATGCAACTTGCACAAGTTTTGGCGTTATCAAATTCGGAAACTAATGCAGTTATAACTGTCAGTACACAACGCAAAACACTTTGGTTTGTTTTCATCGTGTTGTTATTGCTCTTTTTTTTTCTCCTCTTTGACTTTTCCTATTTAGCAATCCATTTTTTTTGCCGGTTTATATATATTAGATTCACTAGATTCAAACAGTAATCACCGCGCCGAAAGTGGCGACCAAGCTGCAATCAAGCAATAAAACTCCATGATGTCAGGATATCTCGAAAGTAGCAGCCTTCATGTCAATAATGACAAAGGTAACTTCATTTTAGTATTATTTAAGTATTACAAGACTAACTGAGAAACAAAGGAAAAATAAAAGATAGAGAAAGCTTTTAAAAAGGGGTCTCATCTATAGGTGTGATGCACAGCTTTTCCTTTCGGATTTTCCTTCTTCTCATGTAATAGCTATAGCAATTCTTTCCTTGTAAGTAACATCGAAATTTTATCTTACGTAGCTGTAGTTTGAATGTAGTGTCCATTTTGTTTTGTATTGTAAGTAGCTGTAGTATTTTAAGTAGTGTAAGTGCTCTAATAAAGATAAAATAGAAATTCTTTTCAACCTGACTTTTGTCTTCTTCTTTTTTGTTTTTTACTTTTATTTTATTAATTTTTTTTGCAACAATAACATTACATTACATACAAAAAAATACCTACTCTACTTACAGTGCTAACATAACTTACGATTTAACAATACTAACACAATTTACAATACTAACATTATTTACAATTTATTAATATCTTAAAATACTTTCATGTGGGACGGTTGCTACAATAGGTGGCCGCTTTCTTACATATTTTTGGCTTAGATTTATGTTTCGCAATTTTAATTTTATTTGTCAGAATCGCTAAGAAGGCATCCATCTTCATCCATTCTTTTTCGTTTTGCTGAGCATAAAAAAAAACTTATTCTTTACTTTGTTTTGTCACAATCGATTGGACGCAGTGGGAAACTAAAGTGACAAAACTTGACAATAAATCACAGACAATCAGAAAATAGTTATGATGGAGAGATAAATTGGCCATTGTTCTGTAAATTAGTGCACGGTTGCCATTAGCCATCTTTCTGTTAAGGAAATGAAACCAGTAAACACTGGCACCATAGAAACTTGACATCAGTACACAAAATAATCAAGAGGGCTTTGATATAACTTTTCTCGTCGCTTATGAAGAATCGAAAATAAGAGCAGATCATGACGTTTGCATGACGCGAACGTCGCTTTTATCTGTATGATATGGTGAAATATTGCTGTCGTGGTATTCTATATATTGCAAACACTCCATGTTACGCGGATTTGAACTAGCAACTTTTGGCAACGAAAAGAGAAATAACCTGCAAATTGCATCTGGCTCGTCTCTTAAAGGAAGCAAAGGCAGAACTTCTAACTGCATATCTGAAACTTCGTCGCTAAGGATCAAAAGAAACCGAAATCGTACGCATCACACCCGAATGGCATTGTGGACACTCCACAGTTTCCTAAGCTGTGCACTGCTCGAATCTGCTAGAATTTCGGTTCACTTAAAAATAGCGACAAGCACTTTTGAATCTTTATTGCAAATCGTGTAAATTTGGAATATTTTAGAATTGTTTGGGAAAAACATCCGCTAAGGGCATACGTTAGCAGTAGCAAAACTATTTGCAAATCAACATACTTACTGTTCTTTTGTAATACAAAATCTGATTAAAAAACCACGACGACGTTCCGCTAGGTGAGTACATGACACTATGTAAATCATCTCCAGATAGTAAAGAAGACCTCGATATCCCTGAACACAACAACAGTTCTAATAATGGAATTTAATACTGGTGCATATGCCATATGGCTTTTCTTTAGTAATATCATCAATATCAGTTTGGTTTCTCTTGTGGTCATTTTTTTTTTCCTGTTATCAGACATTAATCATAACAAACCTATCTTTGTTTGTTTGAAACAAACCGTAGTTTTCCCCCGGGGGAGAGGGTATTCCGAGAAAAATTGAGTAGGGATGTGCATGTGCGGTCCGCTTCCCAAAACCCTTACCCTATTTATGACCACAATCTGCGATTTTCCCTACCCTATAAATGACTTGATCAAAAATTGGATACCCTATGTATGACTTGATCCTAAATCAATACCCTGTTTCACCCCTGCGTTATACTTAGTACCCTAGTTCAGACTGATGTTAAAGGCATCGTGAAGGGCTTTTGTTGAGCGGTCTTAGCAGTAATGATGACAAAGTAGCTTCTTCTAAAAAATCATACCCGGTTTAAGACTAGAGTTCAAAACCTTTACCCTATTCATGACCAAAACGGCTGAAAAACTATGGCCTTTATGGTCGCACATACCTATATAGGCCAAATAAAGGAGTACCAACCCCCCGGTAGTTTTCCACATCCAACTGAGAGCCTTCTTCAAGTCCATGCAATTAGCAAATGACCTCAGGCTGAAAAAGTTCTATTTATGGCTACTTCAGAACATAGCTTTCTTTGTTTTGTTTCACTGTTTTGTTGCATATGGCGTGGTTTACAGATGGGCGAGTCCTTTTGTGACGCCCGCGCCGAAAAGTTGTATGTTAATTGCTACTTTCGAGATTTATTTTCAAAGTAGGCATTCATAGTCAAAAGAATATAAATGATGGCTGCTGATTAAGTGTCAATATGCTGGTAGCTTTCAAAACTGAACTTCACATAGTTGTTTAAGTCATTCCTTAGTTTAACCAGTATTGAGTTATTAACTAAAGGTGATAAAGCTTATGGAAAGTCAGGGAGCGTTTTAAACTACTGAAACTAGCTGGGGTCATTGAGTAAGAAGAAACCACCCATAACACGGAATCAAGTCGGCATAGCGATATTATTTATTTGGTAAGTATAAAGCACTTCTTGAAGTTTTTTTAGCTGTAGTAGTATTGACTTTAACCTATTAAGTGTTATAGTAAAGAATACTCAACTAAACAGTAGTGTAGAACAGTCAGGACCAATGCAAAGTTCAAAATTAAAAACAACGTAAGAAATTCAACGTTTCGTTATCGTTCATTGGAGGTTTTGTTTGTTTCGTTAATAGGTTAAAATTTTCATCACATGGTCTTTCCACTCCAAAGTTTTGCTTCCTAATATTTTTGGCACACGGGGGTAGTTCCATCGAGAATTTTGTGTTAGTGATACGCCTTACGAAGGCTTGCTTGCTCTATCCAGCGCGAACGATTGTTATGTGATCAATGTGTTCAGAATAGTTTTGTTTGTTGCTTTAATCAAGTACTTACCAGGCAGTTTTTCTTTTGAATAAGACGGTTTTCAATCTTCCTAAGCCCAGCTGAGATCGGAAAAAAAAACATGTATTTGAATTTGACATTACGCGGCGAGTCTAGAGGCTAACAATAACAGCTTTGACACTGTTCGGTTGTAAAGTTTCAAGAAAACAAAATTGATACCCTTTAAATAAGTCTTCATTACTTGAAAAGAAAACAATTTTTGTTTTATTTAGGTATAATCTTAATTAATGAAGCAGAGCTCAGTTGGTTCAGATTTTTCAGCCATCAGCACTGCATTCTTGAATAATGTGCTGAAAACATATCCACATGTCTGAAGGTCTGAAACGTTCCTCACCTACTCGAATCGAAAATCTGGAACGTTATTACCAGATCAGGCTTTTACAGTCACCAAATCCATAAATGCTATAGACTGTAAAATTAAGACTGCTTAAACTGCTCTTACAACTTACACTAGTAAGAAAGAAGTCTTAGCGTTCAACGCTAGCTAAACCATTGTTTCATTATTTTGAGCTGACGGTGAGAGGTTTCGAGTGCCACTTCACAAAAAATCAAACACTAAATTCAAAGGTGTTGCGGAATAACGAGGAGCTGTGTATAGTGTTAAGGTGAAAATATTCTCCCTTACATTAACATGCCCTTTTGGAGGGGCTGGATAAGGTTAACTCACAAATGACCAAAGGTCCAAAAGGCCAACATTTCAACTAGCTTCAACTGACAACTGAAATTTGTAGTAGGCTTTACTAGCAACTGATGAACATCCAGACCCTGTTTTTGGAGTTAGCTGGCTCGCAGAGTACATCAACATTCACATTAATCCGTCCCACCTACCTTTCCTTCTATGTTCACGACACAGCTTGTTTTATAGATGCACAGTTTCAACAGTGTGAGGCGGCTATCAGTTCCTTCTCTTCTTATTGCAATGCTACTGTAACAATAAAATCTCGCTAACCAAGAGACGTGTAGTAATGTTTCTGGAAAGAGAAATTTAGGCAACTGCAAATAAGGCTGAAATTACGGTTTCGTATAACGTTTCGTTTTACGTTTTCGTTTTTAATTTTTCTATAAAAATTTCCAATTGTGGTTGCATTCTTGATGTAATTTAGGTAATGTTAGGTTTTGATTTTGTAGAAAGACCACCGCATACACTGCAAAGCTTAATATTTTAAACATCGTGTTTACTAGAGGCATGTTCCTCTATCTGTTTATTTGTCTATCTGTCTATGTTTGCCTAAATGTCAAATTTTTGAGGTTTCATGATGTCATCCACACCACCACCTCTTCCTCACGCCCGCCCTTTGTTTCCTCCCTCCTCCAATCACAGCACACGTTCTGACGATGAATCTTTTGAGAGGCACAAAATAGAACATTCATTCGTTTATTTATAGCTTTGTGTCACCTTCACGAAATTTGATGATCTGGCAAAAAAATAAAAAATGAATTAGCCTCTTCGCAGACGCTACCCACCCCGGGTTACTAGTTATTTACAGGTAAATTTCCGCCTGCAACTTAACACAGGCTAGCAAGAGCGTGTAACAAATTACATGAGCATAATCTCTCATTAGGCATAACTTATGTTTCTCTCACTCAGTCGTTTCAGACAGTACATATATTAGCTGTGCGTCTTTAATGCAGTATAGATGGACGTAGGAAGAACGAGTCGGCTTGTACACGTAAATGATGTATTTGCTTCAACGTTTTAACTTGCGCAGTACTATAATGACTAATCCACTCCCTCAACTCTGCCCAGTTCCCTGCTCTCTCTCTCTCTCTCTCTCTCTCTCTCTCTCTCTCNCTCTCTCTCTCTCTCTCTCTCTCTCTCTCTCTCTCTCTCTCTCTCTCTCTCTCTCTCTATATATATATATCCCTATGTAAAAACTGGACTACACCATTGACTAATAACGAGTCGGGTTCTAACCCAAACACTTCTCTTTGTAGATTTAACTGGAGTTGAAATGGCTGAAAGAAGATGAATGACACAATCACAAACTCATTGAACCTGTCACACTGCACAAGCTGTTCTGATGTGTCGCAGGTTGACTGGGACCTGACTCTAATTACAGTTGTGACTTTACCTCTCATCGATGTCCTTGTTTCCATTCTCGGGATGCTCGGGAACGGCCTTGTGTTACTGGCTATCGCAATAAACCGCACTAACTTTCGCTCTGTACCAGACTTCCTCATCTTCAGCTTGTCGTTAGCTGACCTCTTAGTGACAGCAATTTACTTGCCTCTATTCGTCATCTACATAATCTGCTATGAAGAACTGCGGATGAACGATGCCTACAGCATGGTCAAGAGTTTTGTAGGTCACTTGGCCTTATTGGCCTCCATAGGGAGTATATTTGGAATCACAATAGACCGACTCACAGCGGTACGATGGCCTTTGCGATACCCCAAGCTAGTGACGAAGAAATTTGCTTTCATATTTATATTTATTGCATGGTTGATATCTGCGGTCTTCGCTTCGTCTTATTCATTTTTCGAACCGAGCCATTTTTTCCTGTTGGGTTACTGCATGGCATTACTTCTGGCCACAATTTTAATGTACTCGTACATTTTCAAAGTCGCTCATGCACAACGTAAAAAAATAGTCGCTATGAGATATCGAGACCAAGAGGACCAGAGGCCTGAACTATCCGCCGATAACCAAGAGGAAAGGAAAACCACAAAAACATTAAAGGAAAGGAAAGCTGCCAAAACATTTGCCATAGTAATCGGTGTATTTGTAATCACCTGGATTCCTCTCTTAGTTTACCCGCTTTCTGTTTCGAGATCTAAAAGATGGTTCTTTGAAGGTTTTCTTTGGGCGGAGACGTTTTCGTTATGGAACTCTTTCATAAATCCATACATTTATTTCGCCAGGAGCAAACGATATAAAATAATGGCCCTGCAAATGCTAGGTTTTAGACAATGGCGACGTCCGATTAAGCGCCCCTCTCGAGTCGGCATATGCATGGAGACATCCAAGGGAACAACAACGAACAACTGAATTCTCACCCTAGTTCCAGTAGAAAAGTAACATCCGGGGTGGTACTCCCAGAAATATTGGGTGAAGGTATGTGGCCGCTTCCCAAAACCCTTACCCTATTTAAGACCAAAATCTGCGATTTTTCCTTCCCTCTATAACCCATCTAAGGGACTACTCCCCCGGGTAAGGAACCCCTTATGTAAGTGGCGTGAACTAAACCAAGATGATCCAGTGAAAACATCGTTATTTCCACCATAGTTTTATAAGTCAGTGGAACTGAAAAAAGATAACATTGCTAGTATTCTATTCGAATGTGTGCGTTGAGCCAATGTAGAGATTAGATAACGAAAAATATATGTATATTGACGCGGCGTTATTGCATAAAACTTCTGGATTATTGCCACCCCTAAAATAATAATTACATACTATATTATACACAATAAATTATATACTTTCAAATGAGACTTCAGTCAGGTAACTCAATCTCTGTTTTCCAGCACAAACCTATATATATATATATATATATATATATATATATATATATA